TCATCCCCAAAAACAAGTGGCTGAGCCTCTCCGAGAGTAGGCTCAGAGGGAGACGACGCGAAAAGCCATCTCTCCTGGTCTAGTGCAAATGTTTGTCCATATGCAGCAAATGTTTGCCATAGCTCTCTCCCCACCATAGCCTCCTCCCCCTGTTTATGGCCTGGAGTCTTCTCTAGAGAACTGCTCCTGCCCAGATTAGGCACCTTGCCTCCGTTATCCAGCTGTACCCTGCCTCCTTGTTTTGTTTTGTTTTTTATTTTTAAATAATTTTGTACATTCACTTGTATCCCAGCTGTAACCCTCTCCCTCTTTCCCTCCCAATCCTCCCCCTGCCTCCTTGTTTATCTGTATGTTCTAACTCCACCTCCTTGTTCCAATGTTTGCAGCAACCCCACCTCTTGTTCAGCTGGATATAATTAGATGCAGACCTTCTGGGGTTCTGAGCTTCCTCAGGGAGTCCAGTCCATGCCAGCTCAGCTTTTCCACATGTCTCTGTGTGTTTCTTTTCTCTATGTCCTCGCTGCCCCGGTCGGGTCTGTTTGTCACTTGGACAGTGCAGGAAGATGCAGCACCTGTCTGCTCTGCCTTGTGTCGGCACGGACTCTGAAGGACTTACTTCCATGTCACTCTCTGCTTCATCCTATGAATACCTAGCCACCATCCCCACGTTGTCCCCAAACCCAGCTCTTTTCAGTTCAGTGTTTTCAGAATCGATTTCTCCTTTTATCTCCCTGTTTTTCTTATGCCAAGCTAGGTTCCTGAGCACCTCATTGATCTGAGGGCTTGAGAGTGAGATCTGACATTTGTGTGTGAGAGAAGTGTTAACTCTACTGTCACGTGATGCAAAGATCAGCTCCTTTGCTTAAGACTGTGCGTACATACCTACTTGCTGTCAAAGCACCCATACACATAAAATAATTAAATCTGAAATGAAATAAAGACTAGGTAAATAATCCCAAATTTTAAATTTTTTCAGTTCATATTTAGAATGTCAGTAAAAATTTTGAGTGTAAGCCATTCTTTGAATTTTCTTTTATGTCTGAGATCATTCCAGTCTCATTTAAAAATATGCTTTGAACATAAGCTCCTGCTTGAACATAAAGGTTAGCTGCCATTTCAATCCATTTAAAGTGTCACTCTGTGTAAAAGGGTTCTCGAAATATTGTAACAGAATCTAATATTTGCCGAGAGTTGTTTCCTTCTGTTTCTCTTATGCATCTCTAGCAAGAGCTCTGTGTGTGAAGTTACAGAGTTGAAATGCCAAAGTGTAGTCCTAATGTCAGAGATACAGAAACTCTTTTGAGACCGGCAGCAGGAATCTAATTAGGGAAGTAAATTTCATTCTAGACACCATCAGGAGGCACAACTGGGAAGAATTAATGTGGTGCGCTTTCAGTAATAAAGACTAGATCAATATTTTAAAATGTGATAAATTACAAAGGCATTGCCTGTGTTTCATAAATATTCCAACAAACACAATTGTTAAAGACAGACGTTACAGTGACTAGCAGGGTAGTGTGTTTAAATATAGTTATTCTGTGGTATCGGGTGTTGCTTTCTTATGTCAGGAGAAACTTGTTATTAAACTCTAGAATACAATGTGTTATGCTAATGTAGTGTCGAGTCCATTCACAGTTGATGGAATAATTTTATTTGTTCTGCACTTGCTGGCTGGCAGAGAAAGTGAGCTCTAATTGGCGATATTTTGAAGCTATTGCATCATCAGTATCCGATTTAGAAAATTCAACTTCTAAACCTGGAAATCAGTGTTGGACGCTATCGTTAGCTACTCTGTGGGCCCCCAACAGAGCTTGCCTACCACTTCCCAGGATGCCCTCTGGGAAGCCAGTTGCCCTTGTCCAGCAAGTTTCCTTCCACAGTATGCTGTGGTAGCATTTAGGAGGGAAGCTATGAAGGCTACAAGAAAATACATTTTAAGAAACAGTCTCATAAAAGACCCCTGTGCCCAGATATATTTGGTCCTTGTGGAACTCTTGTCCTCTCCAGATTGTATTAACTCCCCCCCCTTTTTTTGGTTCCCTGCATTCTGCCGGAGGTTTGGTTATGAGTCTTAATATCTGTTTTGATACACTGCTAGGTAGAGTCTTTCAGAGGCCCTCTGTGGTAGGCTCCTGTCCTGTTACTTGTTTGCTCCTACGTCCAGTGTCCATCCCATTTGTCTTTCTAAGTGAGGACTGATCATCGTACCCTGGGTCCTCTTTCTTGGTTATCTTCTTTAGGTGGATAGATTTCAGTATGTTTATCCTATCTTATAGGTCTATATGAGTGAGTATATACCATCTGTGTCTTGTCTCTCTTTCCCCCCCCCCCCCCCCCCCCCCCCCCCGCCTGGAGAGAAGCAGCCTTGCTAGGACACAGAGGAGGACTTTGCAGTCAGTCCTGAAATCACCTGATAAACCAGTATCAGATGGAAGGGGAGGAGGTTCTCCCTTATCAGTGGACTTGGAAAGGGGCAGGGAGGAGATGAGGGTGGCATTGGGAGGGAAAGAGGGAGTGGGATATAGCAGGGATACAAAGTTAACAAACTGTAACTAATATTAAAAAAATAAAAATTAAAAAAAGAAAATACATTTTAAATGACGATAATAGTGAAAATGAAAATACTCTGAAATACAGACAGCAAAAAGCGTGTGTTGCAGTTGGGTGCATTCTTCCCGGGGTCCTCAAGTCAGGAACCCCAAATGCAGTATGTGCAGGTGTGTGTGCTTTACCCGGAACGGATGTGCTGTATCTGGTGCTTAATAGCTTTGCCTATAACCTCGTCAGCACTTCACCATTTCTTCCTGACCAGCACAGAGCCCCTGCCGTATGTTTCCCAAAGAATATAGATTATCTTATTCTGTAAGTGAGGAAACACCCTGACCTTCTTTTGATTCACAGCAAACACATATGTGTGTGTGTTTCTATTTTAAGGTATATGTATTTTGCTTCCCTTTTCAGTTGGCAGGAACCTAACTGAAAATGCATTGCTAGCTGGCTATGGTGGTACATGCCTCTGACCCCATGCATGGGAGGCAGAAGCAAGGAAATCTCCGTGAGTTTAAGGCCAACCTTGTCTGTGCAGCAAGTTCCAGGCCAGCCAGTGATACATAGGAAGAGCCTGTCTCAAAACGAAACAACAAAAACAATTACCTCACATGGTTATCCCGTTAGTCATGACCACATCACACAAAACATCCATGCTCCCTGTTCTTCAGAATATAATGTGTCGTTATCAGTTATTACCATTTTTATTAGATCTATTGAGAGTAATTCCTCTAATCTAGTAAGAAAATAAGCTTTAAAAATGATATTTCCCATTCCCTCTACCACTACCCAGCCTCTGATAATCACCATGCAGTCTGGCTCTAAGAAATCAACTTCTTAATGTTATATTTGAAATTGTACTGCATATGAATTTTAGGATCTCTTTCTATTGCTGTGAAAAATGTCTTTGGTACTTTGGGTAGGGATTGCACTGAACCTATAAATCAATGTAGAGATTGCATTGAACCTGTGGATCACATTGGATAATAATAATTTTCTAGTTTATGAACATAAAGGCTTTTCATTTATTTGTAGCCAATACCTTAGAATATTTCACAATTAGTAGTTGTGTGGGTCTTAAGAGATAAACTATGTAGATGGGTCTTTGCTTTATTCTAGACTCAAACCAGATGATCCTCATTCACAGTGTCCTTGAAATTCTTTAGTGCTACAGATACAGTGTTTGGTTTTTGTTTTTGGGTTGTTTTTTGTTTTGTTTTGTTTTGTTTTGTTTTTTTGGCATATTTGTTTTTTGGCATATTTGTTTTTTAGTCAGTTTCATGTAGCCCAGACAAGCCCTGAACTCACTGTTATAGAATGGCCTTATGCTGGGTTTTCAGGTGTAAGCCACCGACTATATCGTAATTCTGAACAATATATGTGCACCTTTGTTTATTGGATTATTGACCTTAGACACTGTGTGGATGAAGCAGGTGTGAAGCACAAGGAGATGTCGAACTTGACACCCTCCAGAGATACAGTCTCGAAACTAGAGAATTCCTCTGATTTATAGGCATCACTGTACCATTTAATGTCTCCCATAAAGGAAGGCTTAACTATCATACTGATTCTCAGCTGGGAGGGAGAAAGAGTATTCAACCCCCCTTTCTACCAGAAGAACCCATCAGAATCTTCAGGAAGGCCTTCTTCAAAATCTGTCATCCCTCCAGTCCCCAGGCGGAGTGTGGCTAGCTGCCTGAGACTCTGCACATAATTTCAGATCTTAATGGTTGGAAATATGTTATGCAGGGTATGTAGAAGCAAACAGGCAAAAGGAGCGAGAAGTTGACATAATAATAATTAATAATAATGTAAAGGTTATAATAATTAAATGGTAAATGGTTGTCTTTCAGGGTTTCATTTTTTTCTAAGTAAGCATTTATACTTTTGTTTGTTTGTTGGATTGAACCTAGGACCTAGAGAGCAAGGGCTCTCCCTCTGACTTATAACGCCAGCCTAGATCCCTCTTTTTATGTGTCCCAGAACTTCATTATCAGTCTAGCAGAAGTTTCTCCTTTCCACTCACTTCACAGGAGTTCTTCTGAACGTTGGTGGGTGGAAAACAACAAAGCACCATAGTGAAGTGTGTGCCACACAGGATGGAAGTGTCTTCTGTGGGTGGAGACCAGCAACGTGCAAAAGAGATGTAGACTGGGAATGGTTTTTGCAGAATGTTTTGTTGTGTGTCAGAAACATTACCGTGATGCAGCCTTTCTGAATTCATTGGGAGTGAAAGTCTGAGTACTTACTCTGTGAACATACAATGCATCATCTTTCATGCCTTTAGACTAGATAAAAAAAACTCATACAGGTCTGGGGTCTGACAGTTTGAAGATCCATCTGAAAGTCACAATGACAAGGACAGTTGTGTTTGGACGTTGGATGCCCAGCGCTCTGACTAAATGAAAAGCCTCAGATGAGAAGTACTAATGGGCTTCTCTGTTTATCTACAGACTGCAGCGGAATATGTGAAATCCCGACTCCCCGAGGCGCTTAAACAGCATCTTCAGGATTATGAGAAGGACAAAGAAAACAGTGTTCTGTCTTATCACACCATCCTGGAGCAGCAGATCTTGTCAATTGACCGAGAAATGCTAGAGAAGTTGACCGTGTCCTATGATGAAGCAGGTATGTTCGGTATTAATACACACACCTCCATCTCTGCAGGACTCCGAGACCTTGGCTAAATCAGGGTCTTTTTCTGAAGTGGATGACTAAGGGCAAACTGGACTCAATGTTCTATTGGTTATTGGTGAGTTTACTCTCTGCAGTTTTAGTGTTAAAACTGTTCTGGGCAATGGCTCTTACATATCAAATCCCCTTAAGCTTTTGCTCACTTTAAAAGGAGTATTTCTGGCTGTTTGTCAGCTGTACTGCTATGGATCTGATTTTCTGAAGTCACTTCAATTTTTAGTACCAGATGAAAATCTTTACATTTGGTAATCTAACAGCTATATTTGATTTGGGTAATTTTTTTTTTTTTTAATGTCAGAGATTAGGTTTTCTCAAGTGGTACTTCCTTAACCCCTTGAAATTTTAGCTGGATTTGACTTTCTTTTCTTCAACCACTCAAATGGCATCTGTTCTTTAATATCACAACAGACATTTGGATGACCATGTACCCTTTATCTCCTTCCAACAGGACTTCTCAACCAAGTCATGCACAGACTTCCTCATTATGCCATTTTTACCTGTTACATATTCTGTGAGCTACAACCAGTTCTGTTGAACCCATTGAAACCTTTAGTAAAGTGAAATTTGCGGCTGGGGTGTGGCTCGGCTGTCCACTGTCCCAGCTTGTTTCCCATTGCTGCTGTGATAAAATACTGACCAGAAGCAACTTGGGAAGGGAAGGGTCTATTTCATCTTATACTCCCAGGGAATAATCCGTCGCTGAGGGAGGTCCAAGCAAAAACTCAAGGCAGAAACTAAGCAGAAGCTGGAGAAGAATACTGCTTACTGCCCTGCTCCCTGTGGCTTGTCCGGCCAGCTTTCTCTCACAGCCCAGGACCTTGTCTGGGGTTGTCATCACCGATGGGGTGCTGAGCCCTCCCTTATCAACCATTAAAAAAAAAAAAAAAAAAAAAGAGTGCCACAAACATGCTGCAGGCCCGTCAGAAGGCGGCAGTTCCTCAAATAGGGTTTCCTTTTTCCAAGTGACTCTGTTTGCGTTAGGCTATCAAACTAAGCATCACACATAGCATGCACAGAGCTCTGGCTTTGATCCCCAGGACCACATAAAACTCGGAGCCTCTTCCATCAGCCCAGCATGCATCATGTTCAGACATATGCACATGCTTGGTCCTGGCCTTTAGAGACAAATCCTTCTGTGCAGAATCAGTCAATAAGCAGCAGGAATAAACACAGGCCTGGGAGTTCAGGGTCCAAGACTCCACCTTAGTGCTGTTATCTTTAGGAAATTAATCTCTCAGAACCTCTGCTTTTCATTTTATATAATTGAGCTAATATTTCACTGGGTTGCTCAAATAATAAAGGATATGATATTTGGTCACGAGGGCCTTCGAAATCATACGGCCGATTAATGCCACAAGCCCTGCTTGAGGACAGATTTGGATCTTGCTAATTCCTCAGACCATGTTAAGGACTTCTTAGGGCCTTTTGTGGGGCGGGTGGAGGGAAGCTGGTGCTTGGGAGACAGAAAAATTTTTAGAGTATCTTCAGAAACTTTGAGAAACTAAGTGACATCTATGTAATTCACAGCGTGAGCTCAGCCTGCCTTTGGTCATTGCTGTCAGTCTGAGCAGGGTGGCAGGTCTGGAGGAGACGGAGACGTGATAAATGTGGATGAATAAATGACACTATGTTGTAAAACCAGACAGTTGCTACCTCCTCCTCTGTAGCCCCTGCACTACTGACTTCAGCCAAAGTAAGACAAGAAAAATAGGAAAAGCCGTTGCTGTTTAGCAGAAAGCTATTACGTCGCAACATGAAGGATCCAGAGTAGAAGCCAACAGCATCCAAGACTGTGAGAGCAGCGTGACACGCTAGGATCCTCACGGCCAGTGCTCTGCCTCTTCCCACGCTGTCTCAGCTTTTGCTTTCTCACATTTTAACCTCCACTCTCCCAGTGTTAGGAGGGGGTGGATTGTCAGTTAGCTATACCATGGGCTCCAGAGAACTTAATTTGTCCCTAACGCTCATGTGCTGCAGAGCCAGCCTTAGTGACCTTAATGGCAGTCATCACCATCTGTGGCTTCCAAACATCTAAAACATAATTAATGGTGGGAAAAGTCCTTTAAAGTTTAGCTACAGTATTGGCTCCAAACCTTTCCTCCTCCCCTGCTCCTGCCTTCTCTCATCTCCTTTAAATACAATAAAATTTAAACCTTGCTTAACCAAATTGTCTAAATAGTCAATCTCAGGCAACTTGAAACTTAGCAAAGAAATGGGACATAGGCTGGGCAGTGGTGGCACATGCCTTTAATACCAGCACTTAGAAGGCAAAGGCAGGTGGATCTCTATGAGTTAGAGGCCAGCCTGGTCTACAGAGTGAGTTCCAGAACAGCCAAGGCTACACAGAGAAACCCTGTCTCAAAAAAACAAAAACAGAAAACAAACAAAAGAAAAAAAGAAAGAGAGAAATGGGAAATAAGCAAGAACTATGTGTGCAAAACCAGGATTGATAGAACATATCTATAATCCCAGGGCTCTAGAAATAGAGACAGGAGGATCAGAAGCTCAAGGTTCTCCTCTGTTACACAGGGAATTTGAGACTAGCCTGAGCTATAAGATACCTTGTCTCAAAATGGGATAAAAAGAAAATGCATCCAGACCATATCACAGAACTTAGAGACATGACAAATGTCACGTCCCTGGAAACAGGATGTCCCCCCTCTCCTGGAATCTACACACTTTTATTGATGTAGCTCTGAAGTCATCTTTTATCCTATTGGACAATGGCATGCCCAAGAAAAAGGTGTCCACAGTTTCAGAGTCAGGAGCTGTTTCATTGTAAAACAGCTGTTTGTCGCCTGTAACTTCAAGTGCCATGAGGGAAGAGCGAATCCTTCCGAAGCCCCTGTTCTAAGGATGCTAGCTCCAGTCAAGAGGGCCCTGCCTTGCTGGCCTACTCAGAGTTTAAGTGGCATCACTGTGGGTACAAGGTTTTGCTAAGCTCTTTAGACTTCCAAGGCTGTCACATGAGAGCAGCCAGTAGGCAAGCCTTAGTCTCACTGTAGAGGCTTCCACTGTGGTTGTCTTTAGCCACTGCTGTGGGCCTGCGATAGGGCCGACTATCATGACAGCAAAAACATGAAGCAAAGTGGAGTCACTCACTTCATGGTGCCTAGGAAGCAAAGAGAGACAAGAAAGGCCCTTGGGCAAGACATAGCCCCAAGGACTGTACCCTGATGGTTTCCCTTGCCTTCAGACAATGCCATGAATCCATTGATTGGGTCAGAGCCACTATGGGCCAGTTACAATCATCAGGTACATCAGGTGAGGGTGGAGCCTTCCACACATGAGGCTTTGTGGGGAGGTGGGCTTCATATCCGGGTCATTACAGAATTTCACATAGGGATGAAGATGAAAACAAACAAACAAAAACCGGCACTGGTTTAGGGTCATTACTTAACTGGCTTACACTTTGATGACTGTAGGAATAAAGTTTTATTATAGAGAGGTTGGCACTGGGTTTAGAAACAACAGGCACAGATTCTGTTCCTCACGCTGCTGCCAGTCAGGTATGTGGCTTCAAGCAACTAAACATTCATAAAGCCCACTTGCCTACAAATCCGTGGCATGGATATAATCTCATGGATACCTTCTGTTTCTGAAGTGATACCTCTGGTCTCCTGAGACTGGAAAATTTGGGTATCTGTAATTTCTGAAGCCTGCATGTAGATCCGAACCTCCTGTTTATTCTGTCACCTTTCTCTCACTGCCACTGTCATTGACCAAATACTGAGTAAAAGGTGACGATCCCTCAGTCTTTTCAGTATTTGCACATGAATATGCAAATATTTGGTGATGGATGGGGAGTGACGTTGACTTCTCGCGTCACACAAAAGTAGCTTTTGCAGCTGCACATGTTGGTCCATGGCCACAATCCTACCAATTCAGGGATAAAGGCAAGAGGATCAGAAGGCTAGCCTGGACTACTAGAGACTCTGTCTTAAAAAAAAAAAAAATACAGCAAAGCCGCTAGGTTTTTGAAAGAAAATGTTCTGGGATCTGTCATTCATGGGTTCTCCATAAGGTGGTTTGGCCTCTTTCATCAGCATTTGACAATGCTAAGCAAAATGCAGAATAGGAAGTGAGGTGTGGCTTATATTTAATACTTTGTTTATTTAAGTTGAAGTACATGTTCACACATTTTAAGGAAATCAGTGTTAGCTTAGAGAGATGTCCAAGGAAGGCAAGCTGTAACAAGATTTATGCAGACAACTGAAACAGCGGTTCAGCCGGGAGAAAGCATGGCTAAGCTGCTGCTCATTACCACAGCGGGCAGGACACAGATGTTTTCTGCACGTTGATTACTCTATGCTAATCTATTCCTTATGTTCCTGTAAGTGACCTTACATTCTGTTCTTAATTGTCTTGGGTCCTTCTGCGTGAATAAATAACCTGTGGTTCTTTTCGAGAGATACAGCAGTACGGCTTATATAGTAGTAGCTCTGTGTTGGGGGGGGGGAGGTTGTGAGGAGAGCAGGCCCATTTTTACTTGAGAGTGACTGAGCCCTAAGCAGAAGTCTGGAAACAGGAGCAGAGATGCAGGCTTTTCCTTCATGCCTGCAGGATGCCCAGTGGTAGCCCATGTTGAGACAGCTGCCTGAAATGCTGCCTGATCTCCACTTCTGAGCTCTCTCCTCAGACAAGCAAGGGTCTTTATTTCTGTTCTTAGAGTTTCACCAGAAATTCAGCTTCACAGTGAGCACAGGTGTCAGACATGGGACCTAAGAGAACCATGTGGTGCAGATGACCAAAGGAGAGAGTTGGGCTGGCTGTGTGTGATGTTAAACTGAGCCCTTAGGTAAACCTGGGGCCTGCAGATCAGCTACAAGTGCCCGGCAGCCACACAGCTTCCCTAGAGGAGGGGAGAATGGAGAAGCAGCAGCAATGTTTCCGCCTCTTCCTTGTGATTCCCGATGGAGCTTTACAAAAGAAAT